GAGCTGGACGATCCATCATGATCCAATCATTGGACTATCAGCCTCTACCTATGATAGTCCTGCTGTAACTAGCCTCTGTTAAAGCCGTTAGTATAATGCGCTGATGGTCTTGGCATTTGATCTTGACGTGGATCTGACATTTACGACTGATAGATCTACGGTAAACCTTTTTCCCAAATCAGACGGACCTGCCACTTTACGTTATGGACGTATGATGGAAAACTGTTTTGAACTGCAGGACAATGGCTGCACTCACTCATCCAAATAGTTCTCGCTACTCTTTCTAGACCTGCTGTTAGTTGTAATAATATTTAATAGCCAAACTGTACAAAGCACATTGCATTGAAATAATCAAAACCATATCCACCGGCTGCCACCTGCATTCTTGAACGTTACAAAACCATCGCGTCCCTCTGTTGAACTTCGACACAAATGTCCAAGATTCTAAGTTTTCTTAGTAGTGGCCGAGATTTCTTCCATTTCCATCCCTCGAGAGTGAAACAAGACCAACCGAAGCGTACATTTCACGAACAAAAGATCATCGTGTCCAAACCTCCCTCGTTCCGATTCAGCTGTATATCGCGCGCTCCCTTTACTCATTTCATCCATGTATCCATTCCATCATGACTAAATCAAAACTATACGCGGAATCAGCATCTCCAGTCAATGGAAGAAAATGATCATATGAATATATACTACAATACTACAGTATATTTGTATGTACTAGATGTAAATTGTACATAAAATGTGAATACTCCTGGGGCGGGCAATGAACTGTGTAGAGGTCAGACTCTAAATCCATGGACAGCTTTACGCACTGGCAAATGAAAATTGATTCTCTTACCTGAGTGGATATCATCTTCGGAGGGAAATTTTCCGGCTTACAGACACAATTCTGAGGATGTGAGGTTCACGTTAGGGGCCGCAAGACGTGCCAGGATTCTATATATTTTAGTCATAGAATACAGAAGCTAGAACTTAAACGTTTGATAAAGAAGATTAGGCGTGGACATATATCTTTGCCCGTGTAATGTCCGACGTATTAAGATTAACCAAGACGCGACCTCACTGCGTTACGCCGCAGCAGAAATTACAACAGAGAGTTTAATTTTCATGCGAACATACCTGACGAGAAGCTTTAGCTGTAATAACGACGGGTTGACTCCAGATGCGACCTGGTCTACATGGCTGTACAGGTCTTGAAGTATCCGTACCTACAATATCTACTTTGGTGATACGGGAACCAAGTAAAACTACCATACAGTAACTTTGGCTTTGTTTCGTTTCGTGACAACGATTACTGGTTACATATCACCACCGAATCAACTGCAGAGCGGTCTGATATTCTATGAATCGAGAGATAGCGAAAGTTTCGTGTGACAATATTCTTTGACTTTTTCACCAAGAAATATTCTTTAGCTTAATATCATTCAGCACTAAGGGAAACTTGTTCTGGCGCCATCAGTGTCATGTATGGTAGCGTAAATGAAGTTAGTGCAGTTCCCATTTTTACTCAAATAATATTCCAGTGGTTTCTGTGGAAGAAAGAACAACAATTTTGTTGTCCTAATGACGCAGGAACTGAAGGCAAACATTCAATTCGGCAAGAAATTGACACTGAGATTGCACGGGCATTAATGTCCCGAAAAGACTTACCTCGAATCGAACACAAGGTAGCGCTATCAATCGATAGTCCCGGTACTGTTTCCTTTGCCAGTCTGAAATGTGACGACCCCTATCCATTACGTGTCTCCTCCCTAGCAATCCTCCATGAAAAATAACATGAATGTGGTCATACTGGAAGACCTCAGAAACAACTGACCATTTTGAATTAATTGCAGAAATCACTGGCACTTGGTTGGTCAATTTCCATATGCACTGGCTTTATCTCTCAAGCTCTCGGACATTCAGACTGGCAAAAGTAGCGGACCGGTTGTGTATAGTACAGTATTGTACATGTACCAATACGTGACAATGACTTGTCTATGAGAAAGGGGTAGACCAGGGATTTTGCCGTGCTTGTTACGTCATACATGGAAGACTGGATTTGCAGTAAAATCACAACTTTTCATGTTTAAGACATCGAAAGTCGTGCTGCTGAAAATCGAATCTTGAATGTGAGTGCCAATCGAAAATCCCTGAGCCGTCCCTTTAAAACCATGACTCGTCCTATCTACAATTATATAGATGTTACCTGTTGTACAGTATAAGACATAGATTATTAAAAACAATGTGACAAGGATACAGGTACTGTGAAAAGTCTGTCGTGGTAGAATTCTGACACATGTATAAAGTTATATAGTTGCATCCGAAACTGCTGCATATTTTTGATAGGGGATAGCACAGAGTTTATTCATAGTGCAGAGAGCACCGTGTATTGAGAGAGTATATAGTAATAGAGCGTATTTATGAACACAGAATGTGCAATAGGTCTTCAGTACAGGATCTCAACGAAGATCGCGTAATTTCCAAAATCTGTTGACGTGAAAATTGCAGCTCGTGTAGAATTTTTGATGGAGAAATAATAATAATGTATATAGGAACGTGAACCTTTGAAGAAGTAGAACACCGACACGTTTTCACAGGTTTGACTTTGGATTTGGCAGTTACTACATGGCAAAACCGACTTTTAGCTTCAGCTCAAATTGACAAGGAACATGTTGGAAGTAAATTCGCTTATTACAGAAGTTACAGGATGCCTTCTTGATAAGAATTTCACAGGACACACGCATGCATTAGTTGAGTACAGCGGATGTCTACTGTATTTTCAAGGCCACGTCCTAAGGCACATTGTCGCAGCATAGTTGAAGAAATGTCACGACTTACGTTCAACAATTCAGTGTCAAACAGCTTGTCTCAAATAATGCCCAAGAAGGAAAGATTTTTCATATTACTTATACACAGTGATGTGCATCCTCTACTATGATGACCGTGTTGTTCTGTGTCCTTATCTAGAGGTGAGTCTTGTGTATTTGTTGGCACGATATATGGCAATATACATACATCAAGTGATCAGGTGTCAGCATTTAGCTTTGCAGATGTGTTTGTTGACAGTGAAGTTCACGTTCAAGTAGGACACTGTATTAGTTGCACACGCTATATTCACAATGTTAACCATTTTCTAACAGCCGTCACATCCACAGACAATTTTCAACTGTAGATATTATGGAAACGTTCACCTTATTGTAACACCGATACACAGGTCTTGTCCATGTGTTTCAAGCTGATGTTTAGATGGCATTGTAAAGGTGTCCAGAGTTAAAGCGGGGTACATATGGTGTTTCCTACTATTTGAAAACCTATTGGATGAAGACCACCGTGCACAGCACTGTCGACGTATATCATACGTTTGCCAAATGCAACTTTTTGCCTAACTTTGCCAAAGCGAAGAAAATACTTAAAATTCTGTCTCATGCAGGGTCCCTTCTAGACGATGTTGTTGTAAAGCCTCGGTCACATACATCGTACGATGGACTTACATGGTTAGTTTTTTCCCTTCGACGATCATTCCGTGCGTCGTAAGTTTGAGAAGAAACAGGTGCAATAGTTTTAATTTCATAAAACTGTCGCACGTTTTCCGTCTTAAATCTGCGACCTACGACACGATTGTGGCGGAAAAACATTCCATCGAGAGTCCATCGCAAGAAGTATGTGACTCAGCGAGGGCTTCAGGAGGTATGGCGGAAACCAAAGCAGACTGCTGCTGGTCCAAACAGATGCCAAATGCAGGGATGAGAGAGCATTATTCATGAAGTATGCTCACGCACAGAGTGCCTATAGAAAATGTCAAGCAGAAAACACAAGACTCCGTTTATTTTTGTGTGTATTGAAGATGGGAAATTCACAGAAATGGAAATGCGACAGCCTTTGGGAAACTATGTATAGATGCCCGCAGGGTGACACTGCTTAGTCTGTGTAGAACTGGCACATAGCATCGTGGTACACTTGCTACTGTCTTGACATCTGTACGTGTAGTTTAATGAAGTTTCTGTACATGTTGCAAATGGTGAAAATAAATTATGGTCTTCCTAAATATTCCTTGTCAGTTTTTCTATTTTTAAAAATCACCACAGGGCATCAGGGAGAATGCACAGTGTCTGCAACTTTATTCAAGACTTTATAGGTATTGCTTTATCTATGAGGTAAATATACATTTGACACAAGATCTTTTGAAAGTTAGCACATGTATCTAGAACATCATAGTTAGTATATAAAACAACAGTACAGTTGCCTACACTCAAGATGTAACAATCGACAGCTGTGAGCCATTGATTAGTCACTGAACTGTAGCCAATTTCAGTAGATGACTATAGTTGTTCTCTACAGCATGTTATAACAGTTGGAAGACTAGCATTACTGGGTGCTCACTCTAGCTGTGCTCAGAACAGGATGGATATCTGGCTATACAGGATAGTGTTTCTGTCAACTGACAGGCTAAATGCACTGCAATCATCCATCCTTGTGAAACTGCTGCTGCATAGTTTCCCTTCTCAGTGAGGGATGATTACAGTACAAGTACAGTACCTGTACTAGAGATCATCTTTGCATGAGGCCCACCTGGTCATTGATATACAGTCAAACCTGTACCAGAGCCCGCCTCTTCATAACCTCCACCTGGCCATTGTGCCACTTTTTGGTTCTCTTATTTATTTCTCCCAAGTTGACTCGTGAATCCTGTCTACTGTGTTTTCTTCAAGTGGTCACTATACACAGGTTTGACTGAATGTTGGTTGGCTTGAATATTTATCCACCCCTGTACGTGTACCTTTAATTGAATATCGGCCACATATCTACAGATCAATTATTGATTATTTATTGATCAGCTATTGATTATTAATCAGTTATTGATTATTGATCCACGTGGGTCTTGACCACCTCCACGAGTTCTGGGAAGTCGTATGACATGAAGTGCCCCCTGTTGGTGAACTTGTGCAGCTCCGTACTGAGTCCCTGCGCAACCTGGAACCAAACAACTTCATTCTCAGCTTAGTGCAATCACATGGATGACTAGTTCTCTTGTTTTATACGTATGTCACAATTTTATGCAGTTACACCATCTGCAATTGGTAATGAACATAAAATGAGAGGAGGGCCACAAAAACAACTAGGTTTCATGCATTCCCTGCATTCATATTCATGATGGGTTAGGGGGTGTCCAAACAATTAAAGTGTGTTGGATCATAGAGCTGTCATAACATAGTGGTGTAACATTAAGCATATAAACACCTTCTGCTGCTCGTCCCATGGAATGAATGGATCGTCCCGGGAGCCAAACTGCACCACCCATCTGGTGTTGGCCTTGACCTTGTCCCACTCCCAGGGTCGGCTGTAATAACCTGGAGATAAAGGTCAGTAAAGGACTGACTATACAAGACATTTAAACTGGCTCTAGTTACTCTAATGTCACAGTCAAGTATACAATTAGATACTTTTAATACAGAATCAACAGCTATGATTGAGGAACATTTTGCAAATGCCACTGAAGGTGATACAAGAAAAAGGGATCCAAAACATGAAAACCCAAATGTCAAGGTCAATTTCACCCAGTTCACCAGCTGCCTAAAGCCCGCAAAGCTAGTGTGTTACACTAAAGGATGATGTTACAAGGTGACCAACACCATATACATTAGACCTTCTAATACACACTTTTTGTTTTCTTGAATCTAGAGATGTTATCAAAGTTAACAGTAATTTTATCAAGCCCCCCCCACACACATATTACTAGTATACATATCCAGTCATATTTTCTCACACAAGTCGATTCCCATTAGAAATGAGCATGCAAGGTTGATCCCTTCAAGGTCACCACTGGCGTAAGAGCCACTTCATGGCCAGTACATCCCGACAAGTAATTTCCTTGTAATCAGGGGGAGTTTCCATGGAGACATCAGGAGCTGGTCTGGTTTGTGGACGTCACTAATGAGCATCAACGTGCATAGTGTGTGTAGCATAGCGGTGAGTGACCCTGACCTTACTTTGAATCATGGCTGTTGTGTCTCACAGGGCTTGCATGCTACTGTGGTTCAGTGTTCATTGCAGGTCAAACAGAGCTATGGGAATTTCCCCAGGTACAATGAACCTGAAAATACTGTACCACATAGTCTAACTGTTGTGATATGGTGGATAATTCAGCACCAAGGACAGTGCCATACTCGTTTCTAAGTGCCAAATGTTTCAATGGGATGGGGGCCAGACAACTCTGCATGGAACTGATAGTTTAAGCAAACTAGAATAGTATGGATACTAGGCTGAACTTACCACTAGCTCTTTCATTTTCATCCCCCAAGTCTGTGACACATGCAGACACCAAGATGATACCAAACACCTGGTACTGTTCAGCATACCTGTAACAGGAATTGTTATTTGGATAATTTTTACCAGAAATATTGCACAGTGGACAAAGTACAGAAGAGAAACCCTCACTAGAAGGCTTTAAACAATCCTTGCAGTTCAATGTGATACTGCCATGTGCATGTAACATTATTTAATTGTCATATGCAGATTTACTACTTCATGTACTACTTGCACTTTCTGTTGACTTCGGTTATAGGTAATTGCCTAACTACCTCTTGTTGGTCTGACATCTGATTTCTGCCTAACTGTACATGTGGACATACTTGAGCTCCAATTGCTCCTCTAACATAAGTCAATAATCTAAGGAAATAGTACTGTTAAGTTTCCTTTGCTTGACCTGAATTTCATGGAAGAAGGGAAAAGGAGGTATACATAGTGTTTAAAGTTTGCAGTTAAAAAATATTCTGTAGTACTGTGAATAGTATGATAGAAATGGGTACTGAATGAATGAATGAATGAATGAATGAATGAATGAATGAATGAATGAATGAATGAATGAATGAATGAAACTTTATTTTCGTGTCGTGCGCATACCACGCCCAGCCCGTGTGGGCTTATACGACACCGTTTGAGAATAAATAATACATAAACAACAGAGAAACAGAGGTACAGAATCCAAACAAAATGTGAACACAAATAAAGTTAGGCTATATACAATTAAGCAGAACAGAGTGAACTCATAACAGATCAAAAATGCAAATAAACAAATCTGTACATAAACTTGATAAAGAACCAAGATTTCACAAAATAAATACAAGTACATAAGGTAAATCAAATATAAATAAGAGAAAACAAATGTGTAGAAGTAACAAAAGGTGAGAACTGTTGTACTTGTATTGGCAGTGCCATGATTTCCTGGTGGAAAAGTCACTGCAAAAACTGCAAAAATAAAACCAATGCAGAGATTTTAAGATTTACAGTACTCACCTCATAGCAGCTTCAGCCCCGGAGCTGTGACCAATCACAATGGTTGTCTCATCACACTGCAGCTCATCATGCATGAAGGGAATCCAGATGTTCTCTCTGGCCAGAACTATGGAGAGCAACAATGGTCATCATGACAAAATCACAGTGAAAATAGTGGGAAGGTGGTAGCTAAAATCCCAATCAGCTCTAAGGAGGGACACCATACCAATGGTTTAAATGACTGATGGCCAATCAGCACCAAGGACAGGTACCAATCAAGTGAGAGATGGCCAATTAGCTCTAAGGAGGAACACCATACCAAGGGTTTGAATGAGAGATGGCCAATCAGCACCAAGGAGGGACACCATACAAAGTTAGTCTGTTTAGAAATGTTATTGTTACTCTGTTCATAAAACAAAGGCACTGATGAAAAGCTAAGTTCACACAAGAAACTAGGCAGACTAAAGATTAACTGACAATAGATAGAGCATCCATACCTGGATCTGGCATGTTTTTCAGTGTGCACTTGAAATTTGGAATCTGAAATAAAGGAATGATGTTCAATCGCAGCTACTTTGATACTGATTAAGAAGCCATTAGTTATCCAGTAGGAGGAGCCATGGCTTTGTCTCTGTTGATGTTTCACCCTTACATGTCTATTATATCTCTATTGTACTGCTTAATGAAATGGAAAATGAAATAAAGGATAAAAAAACAAGCAGAGAAGATGTCTCACATACATTGTCCAGATGGCTCTTGACCCAGTCGTACCAGTTGCTGTTGTACACGTCCCCGCCCGTTCCCGGGCACGATAACCGCCTTCTCCGCTCGCGCACACATCCCTCCACCCGTCCTGTACAGGTCGATCTTCAGGAGGGTGGAAAATATTTGCATGGCGACAAGGACACAGATGACATAGAAGAGGCCATCCTCAAGGACCTTGTGGACATTCCCTGCTACATCCATGTTTGATGGAGGTTTTCTTTGGCATATTTGTGTTAAGTGTAATACTGTATTCTTGGCTTTTTGCTACCCTCTAACAGTATCTACCTGTTGACGTTCAACTGAATCCCACATTGCAAGTGATGTGTCTCCCTTCACAGAAGTCCAGTGAGTAAGCACAAGAGAAAGAACCCACGGTTGAAATTAGTGGATATGCATTACAGCAAAGAATTAATGTGTGGGGACTATTGACAAGTTACGTGTAATGCTGATTTTTTTTAAATAGAAAGAAAAGTCAGAGCTAAAGGCTCTATCTAACAGCTTCATGAAAAAAGTGTATAATTTAAATGTTACTTCATCATTACTTGAGCTGCAGCTCAGTGTTCTGTAGTCAATGATTTACAATATGTATGGCACCATGTCACAATCGATTACGTTTGAACAATATACAAATGCAGAACATTTTCTCCAGTGCTCCTAAAAAAACAGAATAGCAGCAAAGCCTCTATAAACAACAACATAAACATAAACAGTTTCCTAACAAACCTGTCCGGATCTCCCTGAGCTGCTTGTTGATCTCGCAGTGACCTCTGACCTCGATCAGCTGATAAGCAGTCATATGACCGAGTGAAAATGGCGGGGAACAACACCAACACACCTGCGTCTGAGAGTAGAAACAACACACCTGGCACCGTGCAGGAGATGCTGTACAAGGTCCTGGTCATAGGGGAGTTCGGTGTGGGTGAGTAGGACCGAGCAGACGACTCAAGCTCGCCATGTCTTGGCTATTTGATGAGGAAGACCTTCACTTCCGGGTTCTGGATCTGTTTGGCTGCCAATGTTTGCATTATCTGTGGGAATCTTTGGCAATCAGTGTTGTATCTGTGAACTGGGATGTCAGTAGACGTTGTCTAGAATTTGTGGCGTGTTGCATGGATAAATGTAGAGACAAAGTACTTAGGTAGGTTGGAGAGAGGTGCACGTGACATCACTGACCTAGTTCTGTCTGTTTAGTCATTGCGTCCATTTCATCACGGTGGGGTGTCTATACTAAAACTTATAATTAACAACCGTTTTAGTTTACATGCCAGTGACATGTCATACCAACTTGAATAATTTCAACACATTGAAAAAAGGTGAATTTAAAGAGATCTGCTAAATATACAGCAACAGTTAACGTTACTGTTGTAATGCACAATGTATGCACACTTGAGAGATTGAGATATCAAGGTGTTCAAGCATGGTTTAAGGCATTCTTGTAATAGAAACTAATTGAGGTAAATAGACACATGCTCCCTTTGTGTTGTATCGGACCTTTGTATTACCAGTGACAGTAGTCTTGTGCTGACAACACTTTATCTATTGTTTTTCAGGAAAGGTGGGTCATCCACGTGATCCGTATGAAAAGCAATTTTTCATCATTTGCATGATCCATTTCTGCTTTATTTTGGTTTTATAATCAAATTCAATCATATTTTCACAAGTTCAATCTTAATAATTTGCTCCACCACTTTCCATTTTAGACATCTATAATCAGAAGATATACAGAAGGTAAGAAGCTTTATTTACACCTCTTATTGTGGGTTAGTTGCTGTCAATTAAGCTGCTTAAAAAATTACTGTAAACATAGGCTTGGATTCATGAATACAGGTAGCTTCATCAGGTTGGTAAGTTAGAGAAAACAGGGTTCTTGTCAACAAAATCTCAAAGATACATTGTACAATGCGGCAAGAAGTCCATGCAGACCTTGAGGAAGGTAGCTGAGGAGTTACTGTCAGATAAGTCAGAAAAAAAACTCTACTACTATTAATAGTACTTTCAGTTGTAGTACAGTTTTAGAAAGTTTTGCAGTAATTCTGTCTCTTGAATGTTTTGCCCACCAGGTTATTTTTCGCCAAACTACAAGCTGACAATAGGAGTGGACTTTGCCCTCAAGTCATTAGACTGGGACGAACGGACGAAAATAAACCTGCAGTTGTGGTGAGAACCAAAAATTTTTTGTGATTTTGACATCAATGACAGATTCTCAGTTTCTGCTTTATCTTTGTAGGAAACATTGAAACAGAACTTGTACTCCAAAAGTTCAGGCGCAACAAATGCAGTGCCCGACAGTCTCTCCATCTGCCGTTATTTACTTGTCATTATCATGGAACATATCATGGAACATAACATTCTCTGCTCACTACAGGGACATAGCAGGGCATGAAAGATTTGGCCACATGACCAGGGTTTATTACAAATACGCGTAAGTTTCATTTTCTGTTGCTTTTCACAATTTTGGTTCACAATTATCTGACTCAGCTGTCCTAAACAGAGAAAATTTACATGTGTCTGATGTCCAATTTCTGTTTTTGGTATCTTCAGCATAGCAGCAATCATTGTGTTTGACTTATCAAGACCGACAACATTTGAGTCAGTTCTGAAGGTAAGGCTTGATAAATTCCATATACATGTACTGTTTTTCAATTTCGTACCATGTAATGAAACTGGTAAATATTGTTTAATGTAAACATGTACATCTATAGATGACATTATGTCAATAAAGGTTAGACATCCAGGTTGGACTTTATTTTATACAAAATGAGCAATTGTCTGAAAAGTCAAAATGACATTCATTTGTTCAAGAGGACTCAAGTCTTAAAATATGTTACTTGTTATTTGTCTGCAACTTTTGTCATTTTCCCACAGTGGTACATTGATGTGAATGAGAAGGTGATGCTAGCAGACCAACAGCCCATCCCTGTCATACTATTAGCCAACAAGGTAATATATCTCTACCTACTTAAGCATTGTCCATTTCTGTTTATGTTTATATTAATTTTACCTGCACTAACCTGAGTGTGCAGGTGGTATTGTGACATCATGCTGACGTGCTGCCTCTGTTCCCTCAGTGTGACATTGATGACTCAACATTTGACAAGTCTTCGCTGGAAGACTTCTGCAAACAACACAAGTTCATTGGCTGGTTCGAAACATCCGCAAAACTGGACAAGAACATTGGCAAATACATTTCTTCAATTTCTCTCCCTGAACTTTAGTTGAAAGCATACCTGTACTTTTCAGATATTATAAAAAGCCTTCTTATTATATACATGTATGTTTTGAAGTGATATGTAGCACTTAGCTATCTGTTTTCCTATGAAAACTCTGCAACAGATTATCTACCAGAAATACAAGAAATGCAATGTACATGTATTATGAATGTGAACCAGCTGCTATCTAATCTTTGTAGCAAGAATCAGAAAGAATTGTATAGTCACATTGATGAACTGACTTCTTTAACCATATTTCTGCTGCCTAACCATGTCACCAATAGAGTTGTTGCCAAGGGCTGCATGTACTTCTGTGTGCTAAAGGTTGTCCACTCATGTACATTGTAGATGAAGCCATGCAGTTCCTGGTCAGCCACATCCTGAAGTTGAGCAGTGAAGGTCAGAAGAGGGATGAGTCGGCCATCTCCCTGGAGGATGACCCTCTGGAGGATGACGAGGAGGAGGTCCAGCCCCAGGAGGAGAGGAAACCCTCAGGATGCTGCTCGTAGCCAAGACTGGAGACACAGGCTACTCTGGGCAGGTGCCAAATCAATTCTGGGAATTATGTTGCTGCCATAGTATAGTTTTTAACACAAAAGCTTGGCAACTACACAACCAAGCAGTTATCTGCTGATGTTTCAGTAATCTTTTGGCTGAGGATTGTGAAATGTAAGCATAAACTACAGTGGGAGAACTGTAGAAAAAAAATAAATAAAAAACATATCAAACTGATAAGAGTATAGTTTATTCATATTTGAATCAGAAAAGTGTTTCTAGTCCAAACTATATGTAACATATTGATATGTAGCATATCAATATAGAGAGCTTGTAGTTGTGCCTTGGCCTTTGGGTGATTGTTTTAAAAGGGAATACTTGAAGGTCACAGGTTCACAACCAAGGTGAATTGTTTCATGCTATTACCTACACTCATAGAGGCCTTCTGAGTATTAGATATACTTCATACCATGTAACCTGGAATAGGCAATACCTCAAAGCAGTTTGTATGATCATGTAAGTTACATTAGTTGCCATTGTTCTTGCTCCATATTCAGTCTGTTCAAATCAGTGCATGTTCTTTTGTATGATTTTTAAAATATTGAATTTAAGAATGTACAGTTAAGTTTTGCCTTTGCAAGGACAAAATGGTACATTAGTAATTATGCTGGTCTCTACATGTACTTGATGGCAGGTTACAATAGTAAGGCTGCTTTATGTATACTATTCATGTAGCTCCTTCCATTTGTATAGGATAATTGGAAAAGATGAAAGATATAAAATCATGTACCTTCAAAACTGGTAGCAAAACAATTGTATGTAGTCCTGTTTAGCTTACCAAATGGTGCCTTTATTTGTTCACGAAGTGGGGGGGATTAGGACAAGATTTGATATACAAGTACAATGCAGTAGAGAATGAAATTATTTTTCTACTAATAATTTTACAAGAAACTTTGTTAATTTTGATATGGAATTCCATGTATTTGTATATGTGTGCTATGATGTTAAAACTTAATTGGACTATTATTTATTAGTAGTTGTTTGCAAATAAATTCACAATAAACGAAAATCATGGTGTAAATTCTTTTATTTGAAACACACTCCAAGGAAGGTATACATACTTATACATGTAGCTTAAAAATATCTTCCTACATATGTTGAGCCACCGGTAGAAGAAGGAATGTCAAATTACAGTTGTAAACATTGTACAGTTGAAGTAGTAAGGTAGTTACCGGTAGGGCCATGATTATTTCATGTCTATATTTTCTCAAATTCATGGACTGGTACGAAATGCTGAGATACAGTTAATGCAGTCAAACCTGTCTATTGTGGCCACTCAAGAGAGTTCAGGAAAATCGTTGCAGTAGATAATTGGCCACATCAGTCAGGATTTTTCATGTTTTCATGCCAGAATCAATGGGAAAAGTATACCAAAGGAGCACCAAAAAGTGTCCACAATGGTCAGGTGGTCCTTTATGGAGGTGGCCACTGGTATGGATTTGACATTGGTATCTACATTAAATAAACTTGAATTCTACATCCCAACAACAATAATGACGATCCTGAAGATTTGAATGATGTGAAATATGATAATCATTGCTACAGTCCATGACTATCTTCCCGGTAAGATACCCTTTCCCTGAGCAGCTATCATGGCCTCGTTCTGTGTGAGCTGGTACTCCTGGAAACGCTGTCCGATCCGCTGAGTAACCTTCATGTACTTGGCTAAACAGTGGGAAGCACAGGTGTCCTGCAGAGCAAGGATACAATCAGTGTTTGTCCTTCACTTGTCTCCTAAGCAGGCTCTCTAAAGGGTTTATAATGTGCTATTTTCTGAAGGCATATCAGATCAAGGAGGAGGCTACTATCAATGTATCTAGACTGGATATATAAAAAATTAAATCATCTGAGCTCAGACACTTTCTTTAATATTTACTTAACAGAAAAAGGTGGTCTAGGGTCCTTAGCAAGGCTGCTACTTAGGAATAGGAAGTGTCCAGTAATATACCTCTGTGTCCAGGATTTTCCTACTGGTGAAGTCATGAACACAGTCCACAAAGCAGTTTTCTGAAATCCTGTTGTAGGTCTGGAGAAAGTCGCGAAACTGCAACAGATGTTTCATGTGATATTGACTTTAGAATTGTGATGTACATAATATGTATAATATGGCAAGTTTCAGATCAGTAGAAAACAATGGTGACCCATGCCTACCCACGTCGACACAGGGTGTTTTACTAGTACCTGCTCCAGTCTTGCTAACCATCTACTACCTTTTTTTCCTGATTATAGCCATGAGTGCGGTGACTGAATCCCACCCAGTAAGAATTGGCCCGGGCATAGCCGTGGAGACTCTTGATTCGGGCCTACATTTCATAACCCTCAGCAAGAGAAATGTAAGCCCGAATCAAGAGTCTCGACGGCTAGCCCGGGCAATACTCCCAAACCCCAGGATCATGGTTCAGTTGACTGGTACCAGGCTACCACGAGTAGTAGCGATACAGCTGATAAAGTATACTCACTGCACACTACTGACTACACAACCACGTATTCTCAAAGTAAGACACCTACCTGCTTTATTTGCTCTGCAGCGGGCTGTTCTGCCATGTCTAAGTGTTGATTTTTGTCTCAAACACAGAATCTGGTTGGGAAGATTATATTGAAGTTATCGATAATCTTAACATTGAAGTTGGCTATTTCACAGCCATTTTAAGTGTTCGCAGCAAGATCCTTGCATATATCATCATCCTATCAAAGTAGGTCGCTTGGGAATGCCTACTGATAGTCCCCTTTTGGATTCACACTGACATGTGTACAACATGACATGATGAAATTCTAGATTCAGAGATCCAACGGTCTGCGTTTTCAACATTGGACGAGATACATACATACAATCTCTCTCTTTTTGATAATAAAATGGTTCTCAGTAAAGACTTTACAGACCTAAGCGCAGAAGGTAGCTATAAAATCGCGGTTTTCCCTCAGAATGTTCAACCTTTCTGTCACCTTACCTCCGATCAGCTGGAGCACATGGAAATTTAAAAAGGTCATCGCGCATGTGTAGTAATCACTATTGGGTGACCTTTACACCGGACAAAGACCTTTTCAGAAAACGAAATTTGATTGGATAGAATTTTGGACCTGAGAGATTTCAACCAATCAAGTGGCTCGTTACGTACTTTGTTATGTTTTTGGCGAATTCCAACATGGCGCCATCGTACGTTGGATTTGAACGTCAAAACAGTCGGAATTTTCAACGTTTTGGTCAAAACACGGAAGTTTTCGTATTGCTATAAGGTGAGAATTTATCTGATAAGTAGAGTTTGCCTGGACAAAGTGCGATGTTGAGTTTGTGTCGTGCTAGTGGTTGTTAAATACGATAAACCACCGATTATCGGTGACAGCAAATTAGCAACTCCTCTAAATTATAGCTAGCTCCTTTAAATCTATTTATTTCTAAACCATAGTAATTTAAGTGAGGTTCATAAATTAGGCGGTTTTTAGTTGTACATTAGTTGGTAGATAAAATATTTGCAATGCAGTAATATCCTTACTCTGCTTACTAGTAAGTGTCTATTATGTTTGAAACTTCAATAATTTCAGAAAGAAAGCCTTGCCTAATGCCTTGAATCATCTACTCGTATTATGCAAAGGATAGAGACCTTGACTCTAGCATCACCTATCTGTATCGGTATAGCCGGTATAACCGCCCTTTTGTGTAACACACCAGCTTCGCAGGCACGTGGCACGGCGGCAGCTAGCTATTGTACTTCATATTCCTGTCCCATTTGACTTTATGTTTTCCTCCCAACAGTTAGTCCTATCTGTTAGGCGAAGGCCCCATGGCGGCTTCTCCTGCAACTCAGCTTCTCTCCATCACCAGTGCTGCTGTCAGCGCTCTGGGAAAATCCAGCCAGTCTTCTCACTCAGGCGGCTCATCAGGTGGAGCGAGAACAAACACTGGACACCCCCTCCAACCAACAGTCATCCGACACTTTGAACAGAGGGTCGAGAGACGCCCGAGTCCAGAACGGCAGGAAAGTGGCAGCTCCGGTGGCGAGGATGAATCTAATTCAACTGCTAATAAGGATCAAGATCAGGAAGGCATTGTAGGAAGAGAAGCAGAGAGGGCAGATTCTGCCAACAGCTCCAGTGCAAGTGAGATTCTCATCAGATCAACAGTTCTGGACCACAACCAAAGTCAGGTATCTAAATCAATGAACACGAGCTTGGATACCAGGGCGAGTTTTGGCAGCTCAGGGTCTCAGAGAGTGAGAGTACCCAGGGGACTGTTGAAGGAGGTGAAGTCTCCCTTTGACAGGGAGGAGGCAGGTGTGACAGAGCATGTCCCTGCACCGTTGCCTGGTAATCTGCCTCCTGAGAAGGAGAACAGGACTGCAGAATCAGACGTCCCATCAGTACTGGTACTGGAGGAACAGGAAGGGCAGGAAGTACTGACTTCATATCTCAAACAGCGAGAGACAAGGGCAGATCGTCCAAGCACGTTTCCAACTAGTACAGGTAAGTCTGCTCAAAATTGTGACAGCAAGACTGATTTCTGACACTTTCAATTTCTGAATTGAAAAGCCTCAAGTAAATTCAGTTAAAAGTTCAACTTTCATGCAGGTACAAATGAAAGTCCTTATATTGGGTCAACTTGGATGGCAGTTAGTGACAGAAATTGCTATTTTATAAAAGAAGGGAAAGAAAATTGAGTATTCCTTCAGGAATTGTTATTATGCAAAGAGGCAAAAAAGCACTAAGTAAGTAATAAATCATATATTTCTAATTCATTTCCAGTACGAGTCTGTACGACACTAATTTAACTTGTCTCTGTTGTAATGTTTATAGGTAATGTGAGAGATAGACCACGGTCACCTGCAGGTACATCTGTACAGCCACCTGGCAGCTGCTCTGTAGCTGCTGCATCTGATGTTGTCATCATACAGACAGTGAATGTGCCACATAAGGTAACTTGAAAAGTGGAAGAGATATTTTCATATATTCATTTTGGCTTGCCTATATGTGTCTGTATTTCTACAATTCCCAATGTGTATCCACAAATTAGCACAATGTATGATTGCTTTGATCCCTTTTGATTATTGTATTTCAAGGGTGGCAGTGCTGCAGGTAATCAGCAGGGGGTGCTGCTGCAGCAGGGAGCTGCAGTTGAGGGTGTGGACATCACAGCCAGCCAAGATCCAACAGGAGGTAATATAAAGCACCAGAGTGTATCTGATATGCAGTGTTGTAACTTTTCAATGGAATACTATAGAGTTATATTCTTAGAAATAGAAAAGGGCTGCATTTTCTGCTGAAAACCTGTAAGTGTAATGCTAAGTTGACAAGTGCTGTTAATGTTACAAACTCTCATGATTCTACATTCTGCAAGGTACCCTTAGGTTGGCACATTGAAAAAATGGTGATTTGTTGTTATAGGTCTTCTGTATTTAACAGCTAAATATCTGAACTATCCTCCTTGCAGGGATGCTAACTTAAACTGAAGGTTCCGATCTTGTTTTTCTTAGATGACGTGAAGGTATCTAGGTTTCAGCTGACAGAGAAACAAAAGGTGCTTAAGTCCCAGTTGGGAAAAAGGTAAGGAATTTGTAGATCTTAAGTCAAAAGTAGCAAGTTAAATCCTGTAGTTAGTGACCCTGCCTCTGGATCTAGACTTCGGAGTTCGAATCCTAGCATAGCTTTTATATCCACTGCGTATTGTGCTGTGATAGTGTAAAAAAAAGAGCTATCTCCCTTTGGAATGGAGAGCTGTTGATATCATTGCAGTTCAAATACCACAAGATAGGTGGTGATCATGACAGAATTCGAAGTATGAAGTAGATCTTGGTATCCATGTCACCAGCAGAGAAAAAATGTAATGAAATGAAAATTGTTGAGAGGATTCCAGAAGAAATGGATCAACTACTAGTCTTACAGCAAGTTGGGTATACATATTATAAAACCAACCAGGTTTAAAGAGTCATGTATATGTATTTTAGAGGTGACAAGTTTTGATTTGAAAGAAAAAACTCCATGTAGGTTTCTCTGGCTGTGCAGATACATTCTCTTGTCGCCCATGCAGGCAAGACAGGACAGCACCTGTGAAGAAGGTTGTCCAGCCCAGGGTGATCAAACACCTGGTGCCTTCAGGTGGGGATGAGAACAAACCCCCCAACAGACAGGAGTCCCCAGGTGTGGACACTGCCAGCATCGCAGCTGCCACTGCGGCTGCAGTTGCTGCAACAGCACCATTCTTTCAGGTGAAACTGGCCACTGAAGATTTAAAAAAAAGCATAATTTAGAAATTTTTAAACATAGCTTTTAAAGTTGAGCATGTCTGTAGCTTAATCCTCATGATGAATGTCGTTCTATATGCATGCAATGAGCCTTTTACCTTGTTATCCTTGAGTGTACAGTGTATGTATTTGCCTGAGCATTTTGTAGGTTGTCTAATGAATTACAGGTTACCTTCCAAACTAGTTGTATATTATCACACTTGCTATCATACCTGTATACAAACTTCTCATTTTTGACTTTGAGACTTACAAACTTCATTGGAATATCCATTACACACTTTTCTTGATCTTCAGGCTCACACAGACCTGGAGGCAAAGATCTCGTCCATCAACGAGAAGCTGTCTCGGCTGCAGGAGTCATATCAGGACAAGTCCAGCGCCGCGCAGCAGTCGGACCAGCAGCTGCGCCAGCAGCTCCAGCAGCTGACCGACATGAGGATCAAATTCCTGGAGCAGCTGCAGCAGCAGCAGCTGGAGTGGCAGGTGAGACATGGCTTTACTTTTGTTCTTTGAGATGTACCACATTTGTGTAAGGATTCACACATAGCAGGTGACTACCCAAAAATCAGGCTGTAACTTACAGTGACTACCAGGAGTAAGGTTTTAACCATTCACACTGTAATCTGCACCTACTCTTGTGTAGTGGCTCCTTTACAAGCTTAAGGTATGGCTTTCCTCAAATACTTTACTGATTGCCGAGAGGATGTCCCTAACTCAGTTTCTGAAGCTAACTTAGACTCACTTTCATTTTGCTTCTGCCCAATAGGTTAAAGCAACAGCAGTTCCAGGTGGCATGGCAGGTCATCAGCCCCCAGCTGAAACATACCAGACTAGACCAGCTGCAACTGAACAGGTGGACAGTCGACCTAACCCACCCAGCTACGATGACTGGACCCACCCCAAATACGTGCCTGTCCAGGTGCATCACAGACCCACCCATTCTGCACCACCACAACCCACGCCTGCTACACACAGACTCTCCAGCGGCTTTGCCACGACCCACGCCACCCAGACCTCGCCCCTGGACACACCAGCACCTAGAAAGCACCCACCTGTGCCCATTCCTAAGGACAACAGTCTGGAGAGGGCTGACAGGATGGCAAGGCTGCGTCGTGACATTGAAGAACACAACAAAGGTAAAGCAGTTCAAACCATTATGCTCAGGTATACAATCAAAACTCAGAAGACTACTCAGGTGCATAGACAGGACACTTAATGCTTGTGCCAATAATGGGAAAAAGTTATTCTAAGGGACCACCAAAAACTGGTCACATTCTCCAGGTGGTAGTCCTTATGTAGTGGTACATGCATATGCTTCATCATTATACTTTCATACTAATAGTACTACTAGGACTAGGTGTTATTCTCAGCTACATTGTATCACAAGTAGCATATATATAGTCTGGGGTCTTCTTCTGGACCCAGAAGGTGAGAGGTGGAATCTAGGTTGCTGTTACTCACCCAGCTTGCACCCCACTGGAAAGGGATGCAGCCCTAATAAATACAATACATGTACTCTACCAACTATAGAACTACTAGTAGAACTACTAAGCTTTTGGTATTCTAGTATAGCTACAAAAACAGCCGATACATTTGTATGTCTAGATACAGTGCACATGTACAACAGGATTGCTGTTTTTGAAGAAAATTGATGCCCTACTGTGAGAGCTCTTGAGTTGTTTTCTGACTCTGTAACTTGCATGCTCTCTAACTCTAAATCGGTAAGTGCAGACAGTTCAGGGTTCCCTGGGTATCGGCAACAGAGACCCCTTGTGCCCAGTGTTGATGCAAGATGAATTGTTACTAAGATCCTATCAGACAACTGATAACCCGTCCAGGGACGCCGTGCCTGATCCAGTAAAAGGTAGGAGGCAGCAGGTAAAGGTTGCCGTTCACACCCGGGGACACTGCTGTTTGTCAGGACGTGAGAGATCGCTCTCGCTGGAGGTGACATTTCGTCTGCTCGTGTGGGCCATCTCGGTATAAGGCAAACTGATCAATAATGCAGATGTGCCTGGCATGTCATGGTCCTCCTCTGTCTGTCATCCACAGTACCTTCACCAAGAAGATTTTATTTTCAGTGCCATATGTAGACATCATCAGCCAAGGTTGTTTGATCGATCTTTCTGATATTTTGTGTACGGTATGTGAGTAGTTGTCAGCAAACTTTAGCTAACTGAGCTGCAACTTTGAAAATGGGCCTCCTAGCAGTTTTCTATTGTATGGTATTGCAGCAGAACTAGTTTTTCTCAGTTCAAATGCATCGTGCGTGGAGTTCAACATAAATCCAATTTCTTCCTCACTCACTTATGTAAGTGTATCTTCTTCCTACTTACACGTCTACATGTACCTCCATGGAAAGTTTAAAAGTTGCAAAATGCCACGTTAGAGTGTACTGGTGTCAAATTGCTTGAAATGGCTGGTCTAGTTGAAAGCAACGGGCATATTATATGTCTTTCCTATGATCCCCTATTTCCTCCTTGCATGTCTTATGGCATTATGAAGCACCTTTAGGTGAGCTGAAGCCGTACCTGTGGCATTTCTATGAAATGCCAGCCTTAAGCCACGACCTACTGCAAGTATTGAAATGTTTGAAGTGGTCCTATATTCATGATGACCTCTTCACTGCAAATTCATGACACTGCAAATATGTATCTTCAATATATATACTGTACTAAAGAAATGTTTTCACTCCAAACTTAAAATGGATCAAACATCTCCATTTACTGTTACAGGGAAATTAAGTCCTCATGAAAATAAATGAATTTACAGTATCAGAGAGCACCTTGCATTGCCAGCAGGGGGTGTTGTGTGCAGACATCATCTGGGATGAGTTCTGGGAAAACTAGCTTCAGAAGCCTTGAAGGAGACACCTGTGTGTGCTGGCAGGAGGGTGTAATGACATTGTCCGTTCTTCTCAGTCATGTAGTGATTGGTGCTCGAGGTGAGGCAAAATGAGCACTACAGGACCACCTGTGGCCTTCAAGTCACAGGAGTGGACGATAAAAGTGGATCAGGGAAAGTTGCAGTATTTGTTCAACAGCCATCTCTGTTCAACTAACCAAAAGTACAATTGCCTTGACTCATTTTCATTGACTCAAGTGCACAGTTAGAACTGCAGCCATTTTCTGTCCCAGTTTACAATGATCATTGATGCCTGTGTCAGAGCAATCAGACATTGGAGTAAATGGTGATTGCAGGCTTCTAACATCCAGATGGGTACTTGAAGTTTAACTAGGGGAGACATTAATATAACAGTCAGGGCCATAACCCAGGAGCTGCACCTCTGGTCCAGATGTCTCCCATCCTGCAGGACCTGACCTGTGACCAAAATAGCCCCACTGCCAGGGAATCCCAAAACACCCTTCTCTTGGCTGTGGCATACAGGATGTGACTGTTAGAGCTCAGACCTCCCCAGCTCCCTGTGTGACAGAGCCTGTATGTCACCAAGGCCACACTGACTTGATTCTCTGGATGACATTGTTTGAAACACCCCAAAACTTTTTGAACTTATAGAAAAAGTACATGTACATGTAATGGGTAATGGAAAAGGGCGTGGCAAGATTTTGAAATTCCAAAAATCACACAGATCATGGTGTAACAAACAGTGAAATTGACTGAATCCTTTCTTGAATGATTTTACGATGACCTTTCTACATGTCTTTAACTTAAACTTAGTTTCTAGGAGGTATAATTTCCTTTTCCCTAAGCCTGCAAAAGCTGATGCATGTCTTAATGTTGTCCATAAAATGAAGTCAGTTTGGCCCAACACATCTGAGACTCTGCAGAAAAATCTCCGCTATGCCACTGACGTCTTCGTCATGTCCAAATTTCACAAACCAGGCTTGTTTTCCTGACCTTGCTGGAGACCCAGAAATTTGAGGATTCAGCTAAATAGGATGAATATGAGATCTTTGTTCTTCAACTTCGCTGACACATACCTGAACTGTGTTGACATTCATGGAATAAAATGACTTGCAATCAAAATATTTCTAAACTCCATATATGTACATTGAAGATTAAAGACCCTTACTCATCTTACTGCAAGTTCAATTCATTCATTTCATTCAAGTTCACTGCCCTCTGCTAACCAGGCTGTGTGGCCGCTGATGTGCCTGTGACATCTCTGCCACCTAACCTCTACAGGATCAGAACCAGCTGGCCCTCAGACAGGGAGAACCTTTCTGACAGGGGGCTTGGCCTGTAGGACACCCAGGGTAGGGGAAATCCCATGGGTCAGGGCATCCCTAATGCAAACACTAAGGAGAGAGTAATGGACTTTCTTTCACACTCCCTTAGGATGTGGTAATGACAGACTGTTGCAGTCTGTTAGGTTCCTACCAAACCTGTGAAAACAATGGCGGCAAAATTATTGGACTGCCATGCCCAAGAGGGCAAACAGATTGGCCGCACATGCGTGTGTAGTCTCCGGCTATGAGCAGATCGTGTCGCTTGCTCTTGTCTTGGGCTAGACTGCCATTCTTGATAACACCTGGCAAGTTGTGCAGTGACAAAAACTTGAGCTGATTCCTTCCCCAAGGCCACCCACCATTCTACATGTAGGTAGGGCCTGTGCTTGTCAGTACAGACCAGCTCAAATTAACCACCCGCAAGGGTTGAATGGTGTCAAGTTATTGTTAACAGTTGACTTTGCCAATAACTATAGATTGATAAAGACAATTTTTCAGAGCCATTAGCTGATTGTGAATGTGCATCAGGTTCTGTGTATTACGTGCTCACCCACCACACTGCCTCTCCCAACAGTGTCGTTTCCTTTTTCAGCCACAGCTCGTGATACAGACGACACCTGTTCCCACCAGATTGGCTATGTTTAGATGTTTCCTTGGCATTCCTTGTTATAGAAATGATGTCAGCCATATGACATTGCGAGGAACCAGAAAATGTACGCCAAAAGCAGTTACTCAAGCAACTGGATATGATTTTGGAAAATCCAAACTGGATATGATTTTGGAAAATCCAAAATTATATTCCAAAATCATATCCAGTTGCTTGAGTAACTGCTTTTTGGCGTATCGTATTACCTGGATGTCTAACCTTCATCGACGTAACCAGAAAATGTCTCTGTGTGTATGTGCTACACTACAGAAAAATATGTTCTTGTTTTTCTAAACGTACAATAGTAATACAATGGAAATGCATATTCATAGTGTCAATTTTGCGATAGGAAGATTGCAAAAATAGCGAAATCAAAACTACCTTGCACACTTCAAGATTTATAGTAATAATATGATTCACCCCAGGCAAAAGTCTCTAACTATTACACTTCACTGCAGAGATAAGGTATGGCAGCGGCAGGTACAACTGTGGAGTGGGAGCGACACGAGGGAACAACCTGAACAGTGCGGGAGTTGAAAGATGTTGTCAGGAGGAACTCACTCTGTCTGTTCCTGTCCCTCACAAGGCCCACTGAGGGATCTAGTTGTGACAGTTGCTCTTGTTTTGTGACGTGTGGGTGCTCCCGCAGTGTTACTGTCACTGTCATAGCAGTTGTTATCGACGTCCCGAGATACCGGCTCTATGCCAAGATTCCCATCGCAATAATATTCTCAACTGACACTGCTTTGAAATTGTGACATTGCTTAACTTGGCATTCTGACCTGAAGTTATTATGTAACTATCATATTTAGATGTTATCTAATCATGTGATACCCACCTGATGCCCCTGTATTGAAATTGTGACGTCTCTGAACTTATTTGCAATTTGTAAGTAACGTTGTTATCATCAGGAGTGGGGCAAAGGGGACTCACATCCTGCCAACATCTACTTGATAGTTCTGGCTGTTGCTGTGAGGAAGTCGTAATGTAACAATCTACAATAGGAATAGGGCTTCAAATTCATTTTTGGGGATAGGTTCATGCATCGTTACACCTAACCTTAAAATTTAGGTGTACTTGAAAAATTTTGGATGAAGTAAGTTAAGTGACAGGAAAACCTAATTACAATCTTTACGGCCTCTTTTCAGACCTTAATCCTGACATTCTATAGCTAACTTCAAAACTTTTTTTTTTTTTAATCTATTTTTATTCATTTTCACACAAACATTGACATAAACTTCAAAACTTTAAACAAGTAATACAACAAAGGTGTACAATTAGTGCATTTACTCACACAATC